CAGCTTGGTTCTTTTCATGTGAACGGCTGCCAGATTTTCATTGAATACGACCCGGCGATCAAAATTGGGCTTGGACACCAGTTTTAGGGCTTGTTTTTCACTGTTCACCAGTCGAACATCGACCCTCTTTCGAATATTCTCCATCGTTTTTCCAAACACTGAGTTATTCATGAGTTTGTAGAAATCCTTCTCAGCATCGCTTGTAGCCAGAGCTCTGAGTTCGGTATTCAGATCGATATACGGTTTGAGCCAAGGGGATTGTTCAAATCTGATGATTCGATGAACCTTTTTCAAGATTATTCCCTGGGAAATATAGTATTGGAGGTTCTGAAGATGAAGGGTATATTTTTTACGTTCACCCAAATGAGGTACCAATTTACGAACTCCGTCGATTTCCATGGCTTCCGGCGCGAGAGGGTAGTCGTTATGGCTATCGTGAAGGCGTTGAGGATATTCCATATCACTTTCTACTATCGCCGAATATTTATGATCTGCTGGATATTCTAACATCTCGTCGATCTCTTCTGGATCTGCCCATTCAAACCCTCCTGTGGGAAGGGGTTGTGCCATAGCCCACCCATATAAATTGTTTGCATCTAGGTAGGTCATAAACTTGGTTGGATGCGATGGATCGTAATTGCTCATATATGGATTATTGGCCTTTCCGAGTCGGTGAGATATCATGGCCACACCTCCCCTAGTCGCATTTTCAAACATCAATAGCATATCCGGATCGGTCAGAAGTTCCAGTCGGATCCTGGTGAATTTTAGCATCGCTTCGTAAGATAACCCTGGGGATGTGAAATAGTGTGCGGGATCGAGCTTGTGAGTTTTCATACAGTTATCCCTGAAATTCTCGAAAATATCTTCAAGTAAGGCCACATCACTTTCCAAGTAAAGATTGTGATAATCTCGCATCGTCCGGCAACCGAATTCCTTGAACACCAGCTGGGCGTGGGCGTAATCTTCATTGGAAATATGTTCACCGCTGAGTTTGTTGAAAAACGCCTCCTTAGGTGGTAGCTGTGTTTCCTCAAGCTTGGTGGGGCTATCTACATAATCGTATGGATATACCCCCTTCCTAATCATCAGTTCGGTGTGATCACCAAAACACTTCTGCGTGGCCTTGAATTTATCCTTGGTCAGATTCTTTGCCAAGTTTTCAATGGAGGAAAGTAGGAATCGCATGGAGTCAATAAACCTCATCTCAATATCTCCAACAATCTTGGAGAAGCTGATATATTTCTCATCGGTGTTGGGGATACAGTTAATCTTTCCTTCCCCAAATCCTAACTCTTTCACGAATAGATGGGCGTCGTATCCACTCAAGTTATGAAATACAACCAGAACGAATTTGGGGAGCTTGAACGCTAGATTACACTCATTGTGTGCAACACCGCGATATTTCCCCGTCAGATGATTGTGATCCCGAACCTTATCCCCACCCAAAGTATTACCACAAATGTGACAGAGTGTGCTCGCCGCGAAATTCTCATTATCTTCATCCGTCATTACCAGCGCGATTTTGGTTTCATAGGTTTTGGCAATTTCTTCGATTTCCTTTTTCATACACTCCACAAATTTCTTGGCTGCATCTTCTCCACAGTAAACGACTGAATCTTTGTAGTCACCGTGGACGTATTTTATGCGGTAGCAGAATCCAGATGGCTGGTGCAGCTGATATGCCTTGGTGTAGGCTCGTGATGGATCTGGTTGGCAGGTGTCCATCTTTTCCGTAAAGCATTCAAAATCTGCATAGATTATGAACGGCACCCTCATCTGGCGTTGGTGGTTTCGGAAGCTGATGAACGTTCCTTCTTCCGGCATTTCGATCCTGACCGCCTTTTTCTGACTACAATACTCCATGTGATTGTCCAGAATATCCTGTCTGGAAAAGTGGCATAGGCACCTGCGGCAAAAGAAAAGCTCGTGACCGTGTTCCGAGATTTGCGAGCTCAGAAGGCGAGAAAGGCTTTTAATCGAGCAGTAGTGCTGTTTGTCGGGGCTGGTTAAGAAAAGAAGGTCTATGTTTTTCTCCCCGGTATTCTCAGATATTCTCAGGGGATATACTTGGAGATCCTCTTACCCATCTTCACCTTTCTTCACACCATCGTAGCCATAAACGTTGATGTTAAGATTTGTATTTTGCCTCTCAAATTTGTCTATGGCCTTAAGGGAAACCGGAAACTCGATCCCATCGAAATTTAGTTCACCTGCCCATGGTTTGTACTGGGTGACCCGATTTGCTGATTTCCGATCAACTTCCTCATTATGTAGGGCTGATAATACCGCCCACTGAAAGCATCGATCATCTTCATTTCTCACATTGATGATAGCTTTCTTTTGGCCGAGCTTCTGTGGGAGTGGAATGTAAGACTTCCCGGCGAGAGGTTTAAACTGGTTCAAGTGGATTTCTAGCTGATCGATCTTTCCAAATGTCCATCCACTACCATCGTGCATATACTTGGCCATATTTTCCTTAACCTTCTCTACCACGAGGGAAATCTCGAAATCAAGGTCTGATGATTGGGTGATCGTAACCTGATATGATCTGAAGGTGGGATATACGTAGATATTCTCTCCGGTTGCAGGGTTTGATTTCACTAACTCTACTGTTAATACTATCTGCACCTTCAATGCTTTCTTTTGGGCGAGGGTACTTTCGATTTCATTGGAAATGGTGCCTCGACTTATCTGAAAAAACGTTTCCAAATCATGCTGCTTGAGCGGTTTTATGACGACTGTGCCAAATACACCTTTCAATGCATCGCGCCTGTCAAAAATTTCTATTTCGTTTTCCACTGGAGCATTTTCGATATCCCGTTTCACCAGCTCAGTCAGAGCAGCTCTCGCTAGTCGGGAATAGTTGGTGATTCCCCGTCTTTTGGCAATGGTCCTCAGCTCCTTCTTGGTAAAGACCTTTTCGCGGGTAAATTTGTGGGCGGTTTTGGTCTCAATTAACTTAACCAATTCCCCCTTGGGTTTCCTACTGTATCCCTTAAGTCCCTCCTTCTTCGCGATTTCTCGGAGTTCTTTCATGGTGGTTTTCACCACGATTTTCCCTCCGACTGGGGTATCCTCTTTCTCCTCCTGCTGGCGTGGTTCTTTGATGTGTCTCCAGCAGAGTCCATCTTTCCCCGGTTTACTCTTGCAGAACTGTCCTTTCTTCCTCTTCAGCGAAGCGCCGCAAGTTTTTGGTTCTTCGGCAGTATCATTTTCAATATTTTGACGCACCTCCGCACCACAGTGCTGACACATTTTGGTCCTTTCGTCCATATTTTCCATTTTGGGGTTGCTACAACACTGCTGCTTTTGGGGAGTTGGGGTACTATCTTTCATTTCCGCCTCATTCTCAAGAAAGAAATCTTTGAACTGATCCATATTCATATCAACACTATTGGATGCCATCCCTTTATTTATATCAATTTGGGGGATGCTTCCTTCTAAGGTGTTTGGGGCTGGGGTATCTCTGACGTTTTGTGTAAAAGACATATTTGTATTTACCCTAGGATTACATCCTTCTAAGGTGTTTGGGTTTTGTGTAAAAGACATATTTGTATTTACCCTTAGGCTAATTGAAACGTATTGCGTTTGCATTTTATGTTTGGGGTTGGGGGTCCTATGCTGGATTTGTGCTTAAAAATGGCAAGTGCGGCAGAATCGGCCTTTTGACACTACTGTCTCCACTGACTCGTCGTGAAGATACGCTGCTATAGCCCGCGATCGATGCGGTCGTGCATTATCGTCCATGAAAATGGGCCTTGTCCTCAACGGGTGATTGTCAAAATGCGACATTACACTTGCCTCAAGGATTTCCTGCTGGTATCTTTGCCCATTAAGGTTACCACGAACAGTTTTCAGGTCCAACTTGCAGTCATAAGACACGCATCCCCACACCATAACGGAGCCACCACCGAAAGCGACTGTCTCAACAATGTTCCTTTCGGCATATGCGGTATTTGGCTGCCGCCAAACACGAACTCGGCCATCCGCGACATGCAACAAAAACCTGCTTTCGTCGGACCAATGCACCCTTCTCCAAGATACCAAATTCCAGAGACGACGAGCTCGACACCACCGTAATCGTTCAGCTTTGTGTCTAGGCGTTAACAATGGCCTTTTCACGGGCCTTCGGGAACGGTATCCTGCCCTTTTTAGTCGATTTTCAAAGTTCTTGAGGAGAGTGCACGATGTTGAAACCACTGTCTTTTCAATACTGTACTGTTAATGAAGGAGTTTCTTCGAATAACTTGGCTAAGAGCTCTGTTTTCACGATCGGAAGTTACTGAAGGTCTTCCAGATCTGGGAAGGTCCTTCACAGAATTGGTATTTTGATGTTTACTTACAATTCTGCTGATGGTTGAATGGTGGTGGCCCACACGTCGGGCAATCTGCCTTAACGACATTCCAGCTTCTCGCATGCCAATAATTTGCCATCTAACATCAGTAGAAAGTTGACGAGGACCCATTTCATCAACTGTTGATAAGTTTTCACAAACAAGCTAACATACAGCATACATTTTGACCCGTACCTTAAACTTGACTTTTGAAAGTTTTAAGTGACGGCCACGCACGGACAGCTCATGGGGAAATGCATGGGCGAAAAACAATTAATTTAAGGTCAATAAGTAGGAAAGGTGTACTCTATCAGATAAATAAAAATGAAAATAAAAAAAATGAAATTTCAGTTTTTTATTTCATTTTATATTTGGTGTTGTAATACTCTTTTCCAGGTGTATTTATATCTCAAAAGTAAATTGTCCAAAGTGTGACTCCAGAGACTGTTTTTCGAGCACTGGGTATTGAACACAGGTTTCCGACATTTTGTATTACACGTTTAATACATATAGTTGATGTTACTGTATTTTGAATGAATTTTGAATAGAATTTATCTCGCTTATGTTGTTTTTTTCTTGACCAGAGGGATTTTCAAAGAAAATGACAATTTTAATATTTAATCATAACTTAAGTTATCAATTTTTATAGTTATATTACACATATTATTATGTTTTTGTTTCTTTATTCGTAATACATTCGGTGTCCTTTAGTTTACATCAGTAAAGTGTGTATAATTCCACATGTAGACACTGACAATGTCACAAATTATAGGCATTGACAATCTCTCAAAATGCTGAATTGCAAGTATACTACTTTGTTTTGCCACTGTTAGCAGCTCATAGTAGAGTAAAGGTAGTTGCGATTCATTGACAAATAATTATTTCATTATCTATTACAAAGTACTTTTTTCACTTGGAATCTAAATTTCTCTGGAATATAATCAATATAATTCATGTTATTTTGGCTATTTGGATATTCTACAAATCGAATGCTATGCCCATTGAAACAAAGCAATTTCTTTTCAGCCATTTCCTCAACTATGAAAAACGCTCCTTTACTGGAACTCTTTATTTGAAAGAAAGTACCTCTATCCTTTCGCTGTAAAATAAAAAAAGGAGAAAAAGGTGAAAATAAGATTTGTTTATAAATACATGTAAACCATATTGTAGCTGTGATGGTGTAAAAGGTTTGAAATTCAAATAAGTAATGGACCTTTAACATATTGAACAAAAGAAGAAATCGATTAGCCCATGCGATTTAGATGTGAACAGATGATAGCGGATATGTTCCTAATGTCGTAACTACAATCCCGTCCCCTTTTCACGAATGTGACCTACCGAATTAGACTTATTACCGGGTTTGTACTAACATGAGAAACACAACGAGTGCCACATGTGGATAAGGATCTGCTTACCCTTGTTTTTGGTGGGGTTCGTGTTGCTCAGTCTTTTGTTTTCTATGTTGTGTTTTGTGTACTATAATAATTGTTTGTCTGCTTGTCTTTTCCTTTTTTCAGCCATGGCGTTGTCACTTTGTTTTCGACTTATGAGTTTGAATGTCCCTCTGGTATCTTTCGCCTCTCTTTTATTGTTTATCTTCAAGTGACTACACAAAAACGCCGAACAGAGCTAGAAGAACGTGGTGAAGTATAATACATGTTCTAGCAAACCATCTTTTGACTGCAATCGGCATTTGTTGTCATCATCATGAGAATAAGTATAATTGACCGGATTTTTGTTAAAGGGACATTAGCTGCGCAGTTGACAAAAATATAAATATAATTTTTTTTCTTTCAAACATTTATGAAAGTAGAATTATGAAATGATATTTCGCTATTAGCAGTCAGTTTTGGTTCAATTTTGTCTAAAAAAGCTAAAAAACATCGATGAGATATTATTGGCTTGCAAATTAGTAATTCAGCTCATTTGATTCCGTATTCACGAAGTTCAATTAAATTCATAACTGGAATGAGCTACGCATGGGCTAATCATGTTAAGTTATCAAAAAGAAAAGAATGTCAACATTGAACATTGAAACAAGGCAGCCACCGTCTCATTGACTGATTCTGCCCACGAAAAACCAATCAAATACAGGTAAAACGATGATTTATATATTTTTTAATCTGTGACATAAAATCAAACCGACCACAAAAATCGTCATTATACGTGCTTGCCTTTGTATCTTTGTATTTATATGAATATTGTTTACATCAGGTCATATTCTTTGGAAATCACCTCGATGGTAAATTGAATCTGTATTCATGCGAACTTCAATTGAAACCTTAACTTCGATGAGCTACGCATGGGCTAATCATGTTTAGATATTAAAAAGAAAAGAATATTATCATTGAAAAGCGAAACAAGGCAGCCATCTTGATGAACCCTTTCGCTGACTGATTTTGCCCACAAAAAATCATACTCATACAGGTAAAACGATGATTTACATTTTAACATGAAAAAAAATGAAAAATCGTCATTATACGATTTACGTGCTTGCTTGTGTATTTATATTTATATTTATATTTACATCAGGTCATATGGCATACGGAATTCTTCGGAGATAATCTAGATGGTTAATTAGATGACGTCTATTATAAGACACACACGAAGTTGATATATTATAACAAGCCTGTGCATTGTAATTGTTTCTTAAGGACTTATTTTAGTATGTTATTCACGACGGTGGCCACATGTTGAGCAGGATCTGCTTACCCCTCCGGAGCACCTGAGACTACCCCCGGTGTTTGATGGCGTTTGTGTTGCTAAGTTTTTATTTTTCTATATTTTGTATACTGTTGTTTACCTTTTGGTCTTTTTCTTTTTTTGCAAAAACGATGTCAGTTTTGTTCGACTTATGAGTGAATGTCTTTTTGATATCTTTCGCCTCTCTTTTATAAATAAAATATGAGATTTTGAGTTGGTGAACATGAATTTGACAGCTAATACCCCGTAGAGACTAGTGAGTTAAGTTTATTATTTTCCAATGTAAGTTAATGTGAAAATATCTGTTTAATACTATCTCTATAAAGCTTACCAATGTAATGTATCCATCCTGTGTAATGTTAAGATATTGCTTATGTTCTTCACCAATATAACGCTTTAACCAGTAAGTTCCATCTTGATTCAGGTGACTTTCTTCTTTAAAATGGCCTGCAAAAAAAAACCGAAGAAAAGTTTCAAAGGGAACCCATAGTTGTTGTTAGCGGTGACCTACAGTTGTTAACTTCTATGTCATTTGGTCTTGGTGGAGAGTTGTCTCATCGGCAATTATAACACATCTTCTTATTTTTATATTTAGCTTTGAGAATGAAAAGGTTGCATATCAGTTAAATGCCCAATTCAATATGAAAGGTATCACATAACTGTTATGATCTATTTAATAAGTGAAGATAGGTCTAGAAAGTTTGTGATACGAAGTCTTGATACTCGTGATGGGGGAGGGGGGGGGGGGGGGCGGATTTCGATTTTTGTGGTAGGGGCGAACATCTGAGACACCACCCTTTTCATATATTTTGAATAACAGAAATGTATACGCTTTCATATATTTTTTATTACCTATAACTATCATGCGTACGCTATTTCATGGATATGCAAATATATTTTATCTGATGAATTTACGACTGTAGTTTTAATGAAATCGGTGAAAAAACGACATCTGATTAGCTTCAGATACTTAACTCAATCGGCAACCTTGTCATATATTTCATCTTAATTTCTCGACCTTATCATATACATTGAAGCTCGAAAAATGACTAATTCCAGCGGCTCATCCCTAACATAGCAAGCAATACAAATCAATCAATAATATAAAATGGATATTTATCCATTTCAATGGTTTTTATTTGATACGTTCTATCATCAATATGGAATATCTTATTTGCTAAATATCTATTCATAAATATATAAAATAAATCATGATCAATGTCCTTAAATACTGGCCAAATTTGGTGATATTTTTCAAAATTAATACCGTATTCTAACGTTAGTTGAAGAAGCATAATCCACGAACTAGTATTAACAGACAAAAGTGTGAAGGAACACATTCTGAATCTCATGAGCACTGGATTCAGTGACATCAGGTTCTTTAACAGAGAGCCAATCTCTTGTACGTCATTCGTCATCAATTAATCATTAATTAATTGTGTGTAGGCCAATAATATAACACAAAAAACATTCAGTAAGTTTGAACGTGATTCACGACAGAGTTAAGGGCATACGATACAGTTACAGGGGAGGTAATGACGTTGCTAACGTAAATTGTTAGTTTCGCGACGTCAAACTGTGACTTGTCGGGAAAAGATGCAGTTTTCGACTGATTTTTGTCATTCAAACTGATTTAACTTGAAAACGAGTTCATGGACCCCTCTTTTTTAAAATGACATTTGGTTTGATTACGTATGAAGATTATGTTTACCAATTTTTATGAAAAAGTCAATAGTGCAATTTTTTTAAATTTGATAAATATACAGCAAAAAATGACGTTTTTTTTCTACAATCATGATCATTTGATTAATCTGAGTTATTTGTAAAAATTGAATATACAAATTTATAGAACATTTATATAAAACAGAAATTACAAATAATTTAACAAAAAACAGCTTGTGTTTATCTTTTAAAACAAAAAAGTTATGCATTTCTATCGAAAAGAAAAAAAAGTCCACAAATCCGAATTTTGAGGAAATATCTGAAATTTCAACCTCAATTTACTCAAAAAGTAGCACATGATGGTATATTTTTCATTACATATTTGATTTAATCAGGTAAAAAATAGCCTATATGCAAATTTTCATCAAAATTTCATTATGGGATCAAAACTGTATCGTATGCCCTTAAATCATTATGTTGTGGCTTTAACTTGTATTTTTATAAATATTGGCCATAAAATTAAATGAATTTTGACTTCAGTAATAAAAGTAAACATTTAATGAAGAGAATAGCAAATACGCCTAACCAATACACGATCCGTATGTTTTGAAACATTAAAAGAATAACTATGTCATTTATTTGGATAACATTGGATAGGTTTGCATCAGAAGATATTGACTACATGCACGGAGCTACATAACGTTTTTGCTACGATGTGTAGCTCACTCATATGCATCTTTTTATAATGAATTTATTTTGGTCCAAGTGTTACAATTTTGATTTTAGACTATCCATAGTTTTGTATTAAAGAGGTTCGTGTTGGTAAGCTTTAGTGTTGTTCTTTGTGCTTTTTCAATTTACTAATGTCGGTGTTGTTTTACCGGTAACATTATAACTCGAAAAATATCATACTTTTGAATCTGTCTACACAGTCTTAAAGTTAAGACAGGCAAATTTCCAATAGATCTTACTTTTGAAAGTTTATCCGGATCGTAAATATTGGTAGTAGAAAGTCTAATTTTAAGGACCAAAAGGCCTTCCTAGCCCCTCTGCCTTGATATAAGGGGAAAAAAGAAGGACCTTTTTACACACAAAGAGGTCGGTAAATGACCTTTATTCAACTTCAAATTACATCGAAAAAGACAATGTGTAAGAACAGCAATTACTTTATATAAAATGTAAAATGCAAACCGTAACATTTCAATATGTCATAATACCCAACAATACACATCAACTACGGAGGTGTTGATCTCAATGTTGTAAGGTGTATTCTCATTGAAACATAGACACACATCTCGACAATTAATCTTCAGTGATTCACTGATGATCGAGGCCAAAATATTGAAAACTCCAAAACATATCTCAAACGTTGAAAGGCTTATAAAACTAAATAGAACCGAAAGTAAAGCCGAACACGGACAAGAAGTCAGAGATATGTACATGTATGATATAGATAGTTCCTTAATTTCAAATCAATTTCAAAATTTTATTACATCAAATTTCAATAAAACAATATATGTCCTTTTATTCATGTGTACATTATAATGCTATATAGAATCGTTTAATGGTGTTGAAGTTACATCGTCAACACACTTTTCTCGTTTCTTTACAATACATTTTTGTGTTTCACAGATGTTTTCACAACTAGTTTCTATTTTCTGACTAATGTTTCATTATTTGGTAAAAAGTAAATTTCTTTCATTGTACAACGCCGTTATATTAAAAAATGTCAATTTTTCCCCTAAATAACTTAAAGTTTCTTTATCGTATTTTTTTTATGTATCCACATCTCTTGTTTTATACAAACTTAATAAGTTTATATTTTATTTAAGATCGCATTGACATATGATCCGCTTTAAAAAACAACAATTGAACAAAGAATTCTTACAGTTAGGTTAATAACATTACTTTGGAATGACTTGGTTGTCCGTTATTTTTTTTCTACATTATAAATGTTATCATTCATCTTTCATCCGTCCTTGTGGAGGACAATTAACTTGATTTGTAACCACAGGTTATAATGAATAAGCACATACGCTTTTTGAGTACCTCCGGCTTCTGTTTTTTTGGTACTCAATCATTCGATTTAATCGTTATGATAATAATAATTATGAGTAAAACGTTATCTGCATGCTTTTTTGTTATTATTGTACTTAAACTTGACTTTCCGCTTATTCTGAAATTCTGATTAGGTAACAAAAAGTAAAACAACAAAAATACCGAACTCCAAGGAAAATTCAAAACGGAGTCCCTTAACAATTGTCAAAATTAAAAGCTCAAACACATCAAACGAATGGAAAACAACTGTCATATTCCTGACTTGGTACAGGCATTTTCTTATGTAGAAAATGGTGGATTACCATGATTAAACCTGGTTTTAAAGCTAGCTAAACCTCTCACTTGTATGACAGTCGCATAAAATTCCATTATATTGACAACAGTGTGTAAACAAAACAAACATACATAATAGGTAAAAATGTCAAAAATAGGAGTACAGCAGTCAACATTGTGTTATAATCTCAATCACTATAAAAACAAACAAATATGTTAACATAGAAAAACAAATGGCATATAAACAAAGCACGGTTTATTCCCGATTGTCCCACATGAAAAGTTCTGATTGTCCCACATTATTTTTATATTTTAAATCTTCTTAAATAAACAATGTAATTGTTGTTTGTTTTGCAATATCAAATTAAAATAAATTATATGCATATGCTAGTAGTTGATATCAATTTTATAAATATAAATAAGAATTGTTGAATAAATCAATTTTGTCTTCTTTTCATTTTTATGAGCGCTCAGACTGAAAGGTCTAGAGACTGATTTAAAAAAAAAAACAAACATTACAATGACAATCTTAAGCATAGCTATTTTGTTACTTAATGATTATAATTGACATCTTCAATTTGATAAAAATAGATTGCAAGGTCCCAACATATACTTTCATTTAGGGAAAAGAGAAAAATGTGGCCCAGTAATGTCATCAGTGTCCTCTGAAAATATACAATTTTATTAAAAAAGATGAACTAATTGCTGTTGAACGTTCAAGTGCAAGTTGAAAACATAAGCAGGACGAGACAATGTTGGTGTCAGATGAATGTGAAACCTTCTTTGAAAAGAACTAGACCGACACAGTCATCAAGCCCGATTTTTAACATGCTAGTTCACAAGATAACAGTCTACAGGAAGACATGTCACCCTACACAGACATATTATTCTGAGTAAGTCATAATACTCATAATAAGTCTTTGCTCTTAGAAATGCAACAAGAAGCAGCAAATTCCAACTTTCCTTTCTTTTGTTTGACCCGGCTGGGGTAAATTTCTTTTTATTGTGTAAAGTTAGACCAGATACCTATACAATCAACATATTTGCACATTATTTAGTTTTATGTTTATTTTTTTCTAATTCAAGGACTTTCTTATGAATATTTTTAAATCTTATGAATATTTAAAAAAAAACTTTCCCCATTTTTGTTCGCTTGAATTTAATGCTTACTTGAACAATTTTATGATCAGACTTATTATATGGAATATGTTTTATTTCTTTGTTTTATGAATATATTTATTATCAGCCTAAAACCTGTCAATTTTAGAACAAATCCCTGCATTTTTGAACCATGTAAAAATATTCTTATCTCTTTGTATTTCTTTTAAGCACATCTTTTAATTCAATTTTATTTAATTCTTGATACTTCTAAAATTTTCAATTTAATATGTACTATATGTTAAATCTACAATATAAGAGTCTATTTAAAGATTTATGAAGTTAAAATATATCTATATTTTCTTTATATAATTGTTCTTTAATTGGCTTTATTTAAACAGTAGTTTAACAATATATCACAAAAAAATTAAATATGTAAATACCATCTTTTCTCCATGTTTATTTCAAATTTTATGGGTTACATTAATTAATTATCTGTAATTACGGTTACCTGCTTCACACTTTAAAAACAAATTAATCACTGTCAAAACAATTCCCAATTGTCCCACATTTAAACTTCCCAATTAAATTGTCCCACACACATCTTCCCGATTGTCCAAAATAATTCCATTACTTTTTTACTTGTAATTTCAAAAAGTGGGACAATCGGGAAGACACCCAAAGCACATACGCAACATTGAAACACAAGAATAAAAAAAATGACAACAGCACAACAACACAATGGCGGGATGTACAAGTACCTAGCCACGTCTAAATGACATTACCAAAAATAGATCAAACAGTAAACGTTAATAATTTACAAAGACAAATTAAAGAACACTATAACACGTAATTAAGATGATAAACAACGTTAGTACCTAGAATCTATACATCAAGACAACTGACCATACACCTTATAGTAAACAAAATTACTTATAGAGACTTTCCCAAAGGGAAACAGTCATTTATTAAGTATATTTTCCCTTTTTTTTTTTTTCTATAACGTTCAACAATACATTTTGTTATATATGCGAAATGTCAATAAATTGGATGAGATCTTTATAAGAACTACGTATTGGGCAATACTATATAAACTCGGTTATCTAACATATACATTGTCATTAATATTTTTTTTCGACTGCTACTGGCTTAAGTCTTTTACAGCGTGTACAAATCTTTACTTTATTTTGAATTATTTTCGAGTTTTAACGTTCATGTACTAAAACACAGGTAAAGCTGTGTTTTAAAACACTAGATCTGTGAAATGAAATTAGGGTACACACGAAGTCTGGATATGCTTTACAGAATAGAAACACTGGACAAAATATCACGAAAATTGGACCAAAAAAATAAAGAATAGAGAATAATGGAGTGCAAAAGTTTAAAAAATAGAGAAAAATTGCCTAACAAATGAAAGGATACAGAAATAAAAACCACATCCATACCCTCATATATTAAAAAAAGTGAAGTAAGAACTGTAGGTAAAAAAAAAGATACTTCGAGGTAAAGAAGGCCAAGTATTTCTTGAATAATATAATAGGATCCTGTCATGTAGTGATTGGTCTTTGTCTCTGTCTATCATATTTGATTTTCATCTATTGTTTTGTAATTAAAGCTTAAGACGGTCGTAGGTTTTTCTCAATTGATTTACATCTTTTCATGTCTTGGTCTTCTATAACTTACTGTATAGAATGAGTTTTGCTCATTACCGTGCGGTGACATATAATTGCTTACATCTGGTTTTGGTCTATAAAGGACAGTTGTTTCATTGGCAATCTTACCACATATTCTTATTTCTATATTGTTCATAATTGAAATTGGCATAATTACATGCAATATAAATAAAAAAAGACATGATAATATCATACATATGACTTCAAATGTTTAAGGTCGATATATTGTATTGATAACTTACAGTGCCAGTAAAAATAATGTTTAAACTATAAACAATGATTACTTCCTCAAAACCACCAATTAATCAGTTTAACAAACAGAAAACATCGTTATTGATAACCTTAACAGTGACTTTAGAAAAGGGCATTTTTCTGTTACGTTTTCCTTTTTTTTATTTTTTAGAACAGCAAAATCAGATAAGAATAACTTACTTTTGTGGAAATCTCCAACTTTCATACACAATCGTGACGAAATAAGTTCTGTAAAAGCAATTTGTCCGTTTTGTATTTGCATAAACTTGGATGTTTGTCTGTCTTCCAGGGTAATCATACGTTGTCTTTCACATTTGTTTGCTGATCCTGAAGTCTCATAATGAACTTCTCCACTAATAGCTGAACCTATGGGAATCAATAAATGTAACAGAATTCAAACTCGTTAAAACCGTTTACATTCATTACTTTCTTGTCTAAAACTAAGGTCGCAATATCCATTAACAGATTATGTCTACCAATTACTCCTTTGTGCTTATTCCATAAGATTGATTATAGAAGTAAGATATATATTACAGATACAAACACAGAAAGTAGATAAAGTAAAAGTAAAAATATAATTATATATATACCCAAAGGTCGTCTCGCGGCCTCTTAAAATAGGCAAGACAGAGCTACGCTTTTTAACTGCCAACAAAATAGTTCTGAATTAATGAAAATTTAAGCAGTAGTAATTTTACCAAAACCTGGAGTATTACCAAATACATCCGATCGGAAAAGTTATAGCATTAACTGCTATATGTAATACATCACGTATTGCCCAGTGGTCCATGACTAAAATGATGCAATTGAAAGATGTACACATGTAATTTCTGAGGGGTGTACGAGAGGATTTTATATGATAAATGAATAATGAAATGCAGATAGTACACATTTTACATACGGTATCTGATGAAAGAACAACGAAAAAAAACCACAGCAATTATAAATCACGGTTCCGACAACGAAACGAAAAATGTTATAACACAAAGATATAAATCTCATAAAATAACAGATTAAACAAGAATTCTACCTCCCTTAAGTTTATGACAGTATGGTCAAAACGTGAAAGACAATAAGGAAATTGAGAAAATACATCTGTAGTCAAGTGAAACCAACTCTTTTGAACAAGAACACATTATGATGGTTACCTTACGTACCCCGGGAAGATAAGTTGCATTTGCAGCTGCGTATGCCAAACTCCCCTTATTTAACAGTAGTCTTATCCGGTAATAAATCAAATCGAAGAATGGTTAAATCGGGTATAAAACGAGAATCACTTTGGACAATGCATCTAAAATCGAGTGTGGCAACCTCACTTTGATAACGATGTGGGCTGGTAATTACCTTAATACTATGAATTTATATGATAATAACTACTTATTGATCAGCGTGTGTGACGATGATATTAGTTTTCTCACGAGTGTCCCCGTTTTTGAAACAATGTCTTTAACATCGAACTAGTAGTCCCATAGAAGTTTCATACGTATAGATGCAGATACTGTGATTTTACTACCGTAAAACTTAAATTCACTATCATTGAATTACCATTTAACTTACATACGCTGAAAGTGATAATTGGAAACTAAAAGTACGGAGACAACATTGGTAGGTTCATGTACATATGGTGATGTCAATAGCAGAGTCTGATAGAAGATAGGCGAAAAATACCAAAGGGACATTCAACCTCATAAGTCGAACAAAAAAAGAAAAAGAAAAACAACAGACACACAACAGTACACAAAACACAACATAGAAAACTAAAGACTTAGCAACACGAACCCAACCAAAAACTGGGGGTTATCTCAGGTGCTCCGGAAAGATAAGCAGATCCTGCTCCACATGTGGCTCCTGTAGATATCAGTCCGGTTCAATGATTTATTGTTATCTTAATTCATCTATATCAGTCCCGAAAATTAATTTGACACGACCAATTTCGAATCCGGAACGTTGTGTGATAACGCATTTCATACATTTTATAGAATTAAGAAGATGTTGCATGATTTCCAATGAGACAACTCTCCACCAGAGACCAACTGACGTAGAAGTTAACAACTACATGTCACTGTGCAGCTTTCAACAATGAACAAAGCCCGTACCGCATGGTAAGCTATTCAAGGTCTCGACGTGAAATAATTCAAACGAAAAGCAGGCACATACAAAATATGGCGGGGTTAAACATGTTTGCTGGCGCCAAACCATCCCCTCCCTTTGCCTAGAACAGTGGTCTAACAGTACAAAATAAACTATAAAAATCAGTTGAAAGGAGCTTTACTTACAAGATCGATACAAGCACAAAACAGATCTAACAAATACATAAATACGGATCTGAGAACACCGAAAGCTATTTCAAAGCAAATGATAACTAATAAAACATCTTCTGTCTAAGACTATTACCATAACAGACAGGCAAAGGTAAAACATTAAAATGTACGGTCGATTGTGTTTTTCTTTCTTAGTATTAGTTATTATATAGTAACTATTTTAAACAATAAGCGCTTACCTAGAGTATAACCGTCAGTTTCACATATTTCTTCCTTGACTGTTCCTGTATTGCAATGATTCTGCAAGAAATATAAACCTCACTGACAAGACAAAGAAATTAACGAAAACGATAGATATGATAAAAAAAAAACTAAATTTCAATCAATGTCATAAGATTTTTTCCTTTGCTCTTGTTTTTAAAGAAATACTAGTGTACTTACAGTGCCTCTTTTGATGTTGAATTAAAAGTAACACAAATGTTAAGAAATAAACACATCTCCTTTAATTATTTAGAATAAACTCTGTTATGGGAATAAATAAAATAGAGCATGCTATTGTCATTCATTAATAGACTACCTTTTGTCAACGTTCTTCTTATTAGTGAATAAGGTTTATAAAATACACAAATTAGATCATATTCTTATTTATGTTAAAGATACTTGTAGAATTTAACAGAAAATGTATCCCCTATTTAAATGACATATTCGGAATAAAATAGAGCAAACATTTAAAATTACAAAAGTAAAGTCTAATATATTCATGGCAGCAAATAGGTTTAAAATGTGCAAAAACATTATAATTGTTCAAGAACTTATACAAAAAGGCAAGCAATTTCATTGAAGCGAAGGATCAGACTCTCAAGCTTCTACATGATAACAGTACATAGATATAAGAAGATGTGGTATGAGTGCCAATGAGACAACTCTCCATCCAAGTCACAAGTTGTAAAGGTAAACCATTATAGGTCAAAGTACGGCCTTCAACACGGAGCCTTGGCTCACACCGAACAGCAAGCTATAAAGGGCCCTAAAAATTACTAGTGTAAAAACATTCAAACAGGAAAACTAACGGTCTAATCTATATAAAAACGAGAAACACTTATGAACCACATCAACAAACGACAACCACTAAACAACAGGCTCATGACTTAGGACAGGTGCAAACAAATGCAGCGGTTTTAAACGTTTTAATAGGCGCCAACCTTCACCCTATCTGAAACAATAGTGTAACATCACAACATAGAAAGACGCACTCAAAATATCAATTGAAATGGCTTAACTCAATCAAAGGACATATTAACAAAAACAAGTACACATGTCCATGTGCAACAAAAATGTATACATTAATCTTTTTATAAAAAAAATCCGATATCGTCCATTCCTGCATCATGACGTTATCAATAACTTCAGTTAACAAACGTTCAGTAATTTGCATATTGTTACCTTTTCATCCATATTGTTCCTTAAACGGGCTAACACGTCTTCATGAGTCATCAATGTGACATCCTCGTCAAAGAGGGTTAGAAGCTGATTTTTATTTCTAAATGAAATCATACAAGTCATCAATTCAACTTCGAAAAGGGAAAACCTTGGTAAACATTTCCAGTGAATTTTTTCATATGTAAGGAATACTATCATATCATGTAGCACAATGAAGGTAATTATAAACTTTACTTTTAATATCTTCACTTCTTGAATGAAATAGGCTGTAGTAAATACTATCGAAATGAACTCAACATAATTAAGGATAAAGTACATTTTCCGTTTTTTTTGGCTTTGGGTGTTGGGTGTGTCCATCACGTCTATTGTTTCCTTTTGTTCACCTTTTTTTATTCCATCGAACCGGAAAATAAGGCTATAACAGATATAGTTGATTCCGTCCCATATCTTGGAATACATTTAGAAATTGACAATGGGGGTCGGTTGAGAACAAAAGTTTACGACAAAAGATATGATTTCATCTTCCCAATTGTGAACTTTCAACAATATTCAAGAGCTTGCGTTTCCTATCATGATTTCCTTTACAGAAGGTCGTTGCTTACAAGGAAGCTAATAAACCAAAAGTTCCAATGAGGGTAAATTGGAAACATCCGTTCGAACTTTTTCCCACAATCACGTCCTCTTTTCCACGAATATGACCTACCGAATTATACTTATCACCGGGTTTGAACTTACACCAGCAATACGACGGGTGCCACATGTGGAGAAGTAACTGCTTACCCTTCCGGAACACTTTAGATCACCCCCTAGTTTTTTACTGGAGATCGTCAGTCTTTGATTTTCTAAGTTGTGTTTTGAATACTCTTGTTTTTCGTTTGATCATTTTTGTTTGTTTTTGCTATGACATTGTCTGTTTCTCTGTAACTAATAAGTTCGAGTGTCCAAATGGTATCTTCCACATTTTTTTATTGCGTTTTAATATGTCATACAAATGTCCAAGTTAAACGTATCTAAAAGGTATTAGTGCTTCGAAGTATTATCAGTTTATGACAGCTTTTGTTTTTTGTGTAACCGCGACTTTTAGTTTTTTTTTCTAATTCATTTTGTGTTTATTCAACAACTATATTGCCCTCGATCTTAAAAATTACTCCACTGACATAGCTATCTCAGTTTCATAAGTACCAGAAGTTCAGGTAATCTTCAGGTAGATAAATTGCCTATTGTTCGTCGTGTACAAAATATTAGTATAACATCAATAAATAAATAATCCGATTATTTTGATGTATCTTATATCATCTGGAGCCGTTTTTTCATCTGGCGTTAAAAAGCACTAGATTAACCGAATTTTATAGTTCATTCAAGATTGGGATGGTTTATAACCTATTATCAATTTCCATATGTTTCCGGTAAACGGTTGTTTTTTATCAATTATTATTTATTAGTTGTCTTTGTTTTTTTTTCATTTTCGGATAACTTTATTTTCTTAGTAAAATGACACAAAGTGCGTCCTAACAGGGAACATGCTCGTGAATTAAACCATGAACGCAATCCGTCTCGATGGTCACGAGGAAGGGCTGTGAAAGGAAAAAAATAGATAGTTGAGATCACCCACTGTTTTGGTGGTGTTCGTGTTGCTCAATCTTTAGTTTTCTATGTTGTGATTTGTGTACAGTTGTTTGTCTTTTCGATTTTTACCATGACATTGTCAGTTTGTTTTCGACTTATGAGTTTGAATATCCCTTTGGTATCTTTCGCCTCTCTTTGAGAAATTTTTTGTTGTCGACCAAAACGGTTCTTTTAGGATCTTCATGATTTGACTGAAACGATAATGATAATTCTTACATATTTTAACTCTCTCGTATGAATTACATTGTTTCATATAGAAATCCATTGATACCCACCATTTGATTGTCACATAAACAGTTACTGTACATAACGAGAGATACACATACATTGATACTTTAAATTTGAATTTGCCATATACCGAGGGTTATAAGTACAATGTTGACGTTATAGACTTTCTTGTTGTTTTATTGTACCTTTATGCGCTCTAATTGTATAATATGACTATTCTAAATAGTTAAATATATCATTTCGTATAATATGTAAATTAATGACTGGTGACACGTTATCAACATCATAAGTAGGAAATGATTTGAAAAACCAATACTGCATTATGCAAATTAAGCAATTGGAATACGTAATAAAGTATCATTTTTTGAATATCAGTGATTATTTAACAGTGTGTATCTGACACGATCCCATTGCAATATATTCATTGATTGGGTATGATATATAGATTCCACCACTGCATCAAGTGTGTTACGATATTTTTCCACTCGACACAGTTAAATTTTAGTATTAAAAGCGCGAGGCTGGCCGAGCTTTTTAAATAATCAAACTTTAACTGTTAAAAGTGGAGAAATACCGTAATACACGAGTTACAGTGGTGTAATCTGTTTCTCTAATGATTTTTAGACGACATATAAACAAAGTTTACCCTTAAAGTTGTGTTCTTTATATGTGACGTCATCATGCATGGTCGCCTTTTTTCATGACGTCACAATAGGAAATTCAGTAGAAACTAACAGAATTTGACGTCATGATTAAATTTCGACTAGTCATTTGCCGAGAACAAAGTTTTCTCTAGAGATGAGAAATATTTTTCTCACACCGTTCGAGAAATGTAAAAAAAAAAGCATGAACATTGGAGAAATGTAAATTATTGACTGGTGATACGTTATCAACATCATAAATAGGAAATGATTTGAAAAAAATAAATAATACTGCATTATGCAGATTAAGCAATTGGAATACGTAATACAGTTTCAATTTTGAATATCAATGATTTTTCAACAGTGTGTATCTGACACGATCCCATTGCAATATATTCATTGATGGGGTCTACAATACTGATACTGACCTGGATTTTGATCAAAAGTATATATTTGTTTCTCCTCTACGTACAATGTTCCAAATTGTATATCTCAACTTAACCAGATCATTAGTCAACCAATCATAAATAATTTTTGTAAAGTAATAATTTCAAGATGGCGTGTATATCGTCTAAAACTGATAGCTTTGCATCCTGATGCGAAGCAAATACTAAGGAACAATAATTCATTGATATTATATGGTTATTTTCGAAACTTAACTTTATTACTAAAGTTACTAATATACTAACCCAAATTTTAATCTACCACTGAATATAGAAAGCATCCGTTCCTTTTGGTGTTCAGACACAACGGTATGTTGAAAGTATCCTTCTTTAGAAATGTAACGAGTTTCTATGTTTACTATGATATTGTTACTACCAGTTTCGTTTTCTGTTAAACAAAGCTTTGCTCTTTGAACATCCGTTTTACTTACATTCTGTAAATTAGGTACAATAACTAGTCATGTATCATTTTTTTCATTTTTTTAAAAAGAATTCAAATCCACAGTAATTTGTGAAATAATAATTTAACTACTGGTAAACGATGTTTAAAATTACCTGAAACAGTTCTGTATGTCTAATTAGTAATTATACCCATTCTTCCAATTTCTATCAAATAGTGGTGAATCAAGTTGTCTTTTCTAAACCTCATAAGCGGTTTAGTTCGATCATAGATGTTGGACTGTTATTTGTATGAACATTAGCTGATTCTTTTAAATGTCTTGTATGTCATGTAAGTGTCCTCTTTTAAACTCACATAAGTTTCATGTTTTTTCATGCTTTAGTTAAAGGGTGTTCAACAGGTTTAAAATCAAGTCTGAAGAGTTAGTTCAATACAGTTACATACAGGAAAATAATGTTTAACAATTTTCTAAAAACCGAGTTTATTAATGACAAAATAATAATAATTATAAAATTAAATCTATGTTCATTGATCAGTCAAATATAATCACAAATAATAACAAAACAAAATCAAATCAAATTCGTCTATTTATATTATAAAACTTACAATACAATGACGATTTTCATTTTCAAACTCGATGTCTTCAGCTTTATCTAAAACCGCCTTTTTATTAGTACCTTCCATGGCACTGTTTTGAAACTTGCTGGTTTTGTTGTCAGTTAAATTCTGGTAATCTAAAATGTATATAATTTTGTTTCTAAAAATTCAGAAAAAAATTTCTCTGTCAATTGAAGATAATAAATATTTGGTAGGATTGATAGATAAATATAGATCTGTGAATATTTATTTCTGATTGTCTTGCTAAATAAATGTTATGTTCTGCTAAAAAGAAAATATTTGGGTAGATCTAATCAAACTACAAAATTACAACTAGCCATCATATTTTTTTTTCAAATCTGACTGAAAGGATTTATGAATACGAGAAGTTTTAAAGCATATTCAGTCATGTGAAAGGAAGGACATATTGTTGGTGTACACGAGAGATGAAACGGATATTTTTCACTAATTATCTCAATTATTTTAGTCGAAGGACAAACACATGAACAAATATAAGAGCACTTCTTCACAACGGATATTTAAACTAAAGCTTAGGTCATGGGAACTTTACTTAATAAAAGTTTAAAAATGAAAGGAAAGTGTGCGGCACAAGTAAATGGTATATTAAGATATACATCATGCTTTTTTAACATTTCTGATTTGACGTATTCACTGTAAGATATGCACTTCTACCTCCATCGTGCTTGCAAATTACAGTAAATTAGACGTTAACTTATTAAATACGAATGTAAAAAAGTTTTATCTTTCTAAAAAGCTTTGGAGTGCTTCGCTATATCATGCTTTTAAGTAAGATATGATTGTTTAAGTACAGGAAAGGAGTTATTTACCTCCTTTGTGCATATTTATACTCATAAGTGTGGTATTTTATGCCTGTTGTAGTCATTTATTACACAGCAATTATTTGCACATGGATATCCTCATACATGTTTTCTTACATCGTCATTTTACTAAGACGTAAACTAAAAAAAATACCGAATACATCAGCGAATGGAAAGCAACTGTCATATTCCTGACTTGGTACAGGCATTTCCTAATGTAGAAAATGGTGGATTTAACCAGGTTTTATTCTAGTTAAACCTCTCACTTGTATGACAGTCATATAGCATTCAATTTTATTGACAACAATGTGTGCGCAAAACAAACAACATTGTGTTTACTAACTTGTTATTAGATGCCTCCTAAAAGTTCCAGATCATTATCAAAATAATTCTAATGCACAATTCTGAGTACCTGTGGTTTTGGCATATCATTTGGTTTTATAACATGGACTCGTGTATTTTATCACAATTCTGGGAGATCATTGGCAGTAATATGCATTTGGTGTACATACATATATATTCATATAAGCAATCAGACTCTTGTTCGTGTTAGTCCCTCCTTTCATTTATTAACATGAAGTTGAAGCGACATTATGAAGCAAGGTAATCCAGGAGAGGAAACCTTATTCATTGGTCGGGTATTGTATCTGTTCTTGAATACTTATACTGTAATTTTGTCCGTATTTAATATCTTTTCCTGTCCGGGACATGTTCCCAATTCTATATATCATTCTAGCCCATAGAATCTTTTCCACATCATTAGGCAACCAATGGGAACCAATATTTGTTACGTAATAATTTCAAGATGGCGTGAATATCGTATGCAATTTATAGATTCGCAGAGTAATTCGAAGCAAATACGTGACTCGATATTTCTTAATGAACTATTTCCTTCTTATGACTGTTTCGTTATTTATTCGGTAGTTATACACCATTCAATGTGTGCAGAACATTTTCCCCATCATACAACATCTAAACTCTACTTATTGCAGATGGCAGCAGTTGTGCTGCAATTTTGTATTACATGTATAACGAACATTCCATGATTGTAGAAATATCTAACTGCTTAAAACAAAACCCTAAAAATTTCTTTTTACTCGTTAATTGAAAATTCTGTCATCACTTGTATTCATGTGTATGATGAAATAATGTAATCAGACAAAGTGTTTATAAGCTCTTTCGTTGGAGAGTATTTGCAAAATGTATTAACAACAATCCAAGGTAAATTAAAAAAAAGGGAGAAGTACAAATGAAAAAAGCAAACATTATACATAACGACTGGAAAACAACAGTCATATTCCTTACTTGGTACAATGTACAGGCAGTTTCATAAGTACATGGTGGGTTAAACATAGCTTTTATAGATAGCAAAACCTCCCTCTTATTACAATATTGTGTAAGCAACCCAAACAGACATAATTGGTTAACGCAATAGAAGAATTGTGATCAAGCAGCTTAAATAATGTAAATATACATCACAGAAATACAAAACAACAGTGTGAGGTCACTAGGGTTGTTAATATATGGAGAAATGGGATCATCCAAATATCAGAGGTTTTGTCAAGTATTCTTCTACAATTAGGGTTTACAATGCTTGTTTATAGTTATATATTTTAGGCGCAATTGTTTTGTTGTAACCGTATAACACAATAGAAACAGAATAATCTTGATAATAAATCGGATTTCAGATGTTACTTAAAACATTTTTTGTAAAATATTCTCAATGGTGCACATTGGCCGTTTTAGGTTAAATAATTACAATTTCGAATATTTCATGATACGAATTCAATTGTAAAAATTATAATCATCAGCTTTTACCTTTTGTTTCTTCTTTACTACATTTTGTTACTCCAACTGTTTCTTCCATTGTTCTCGATTGCTCTGCACAACTTTATATTTCAATCAGTACGGCTTTACTTCAAATTGAATTAAACTTTGCTATGGAGTTGGTTAGTGTCAATCCTTTATATGGTAAGGAAAACACCAGGAAAGATCATTGAGGAAATGAATTATTCACAAGGAAAATATCGTCGAGTACTTGTTCCGGCAGCTGAATGAAACTTTTCTCGCGATTTGTGAAGGCAATACAATAGAAAAATTTGTTGAACTTGTCGATAGTAAATTTGAAACACTTATAATTGTTTTCCCAAAATATGGTGTGTAACAAAACATATGCCATTGTATTTTTTAAATTATCATGTCAAATACTAACAATAATATACTTGCAGATTTACGGGCATGCAATTGAATGAAAACACAGCTTATCATATATTTGAAAATCAGTCGCACAACGTCGTTGCTTTCGCGATCAATTTCAATAACTGAACCTGAAATTTGAAGTGTTTCCAATCAAAATAAATGTAACAAACAACCTTGCATCAGTATGTTCAGTTAAGATAGAAATGACAATCTACATATTAATGCTTCATGATTTATTTATATAACCATTTATAACTCCTAAGATTCCAGAATAGTTGCAGTTCCTACCTCTAAATATCAACAATATCTTTGACAGGGATTTTAGGTGCTTGTCAGTAAGGTTTCAGTTTTCAGATTCTTGTGCTTGATAGTTGTTTCGTCAACCCATTTTCAATGTTCGAACTGTGCTTCTTTTATTAGTTGAAAGTAAATTTCATATTACGGCGTTATTAAATAAACCCACTCTGATATTTTTAATTCTTAGTATTTAATTATTTGTTCTCTTTCCTTAATAACTAAAAGTTCGTGAAAAAATGTTTTCTTTCTTTTTGTCGAGAATAAAAATGAGTGTACTAAAACACAGGTAAAGCTGACAATTTCTTTTTCTGGACATTTGTTCTGTGACATGATATTAGGATACATATATGACAAAAAATATTTAAACTAATGAGATAACAAATATAAGTGAAAATAAGATTCTTAGAAGTAAACAAGTCTGTCCTTAACAATAAACAAGTGTATATACGATATGACTGTTTGTAACAACAGACAAGTCTGTCTTTATCTCTATAGACAAGTGTCTTTACGACATGTCTGTCTGTAACAATAGACACGTGTTTATACAATATGACGAACTCTATATTGACCTTAGTCTGGTAAAATTGTGATAAAATCTATCAGATTATCAATGAGATAACTTCGCCGGTATTGACTTATAGGAGAAATATAGATTCTACCACTGCATCGAGTATTATACGATATTTTTGTCCACGGGAGACTGTTAACTTTTCAGATTTAAATCGCAGGGCAAATATTTAAAATATATCTTCGAAGATCACACACCACACGGAATTATATATTTCTTTTAGATGGGAGGACAAAGTGTGAACTGTTTCAACTGTGAACAATGATTAGTTTTGACAAATTCACATAATAGACATTAGAAAAGGACATCTTTCTGTTACATATTACTTTTTTACATGCTTTAAAAATGAATAAACGAACCGCTTTTATCGCTGAATGGAATCAATGGATTATCAAAATTTAAAATCGTGAAAACCACCGTCGCCTTTATATATCGATTACTTTTAAAACAAATGTACATATATGTAATAGAACATAAAAAATACTTATATATAGGAAGATGTGGTATGAGTGCCAATGAGACAACTCTCCATCCAAGTTACAATATATAAAAGTAAACCATTATATAGGTCAAGGTACGGCCTTCAACACGGAGCATTGGCTCACACCGAACAGCAAGCTATAAAGGGCCCCAAAAAATTACTAGTGTAAAACCATTTAAACGGAAAAACCAACGGTCTAATCTATATAAAAACGTGAAACGAGAAACACGTATTACTTACATAAACAGACGACAACTACTGTAATCAGATTCCTGACTTAGGACAGGTGCAAACATTTGCAGCGGGATTAAACGTTTTAATGGTACCAAACCTTCTCCCTTTTCTGAAACAATAGTATAACATCACAACATAGAAAAGCACAATTAACACGTTAACATCAACATAATAGACTACAAAATCCATAAAAGCCACCCCAATAAAAAACAATAAAAAAGTTCAAAATACAATGTATAAAAAAACACAACACAACAAAAAACAAAAAAATAAAAACCCGGAAAAATAAAATACCGGGAAATACTTTATAGGCTAGAATCCGGTATAAAGTCATTCCCTTATTTAAGTAATTTGTACGTCAGACTTATTATTTTTATGTCTTTCCTTACTCGACACATATTCTCCGTAATACAATAAACTCTACTTTATTGATGGTGTAGATGGTTGTATCCCTAATAATGAGGATAATGTCATTTTACCAAATGCATTTTCATGCTATCGCAAGTCATTGTCTTCTGTGCTACACTTTTGCCCATGTAAAGGGAAAAGGAGAGGGTGGGGATAGACGAATTGACACTAGATCATATCCGTAAAATAAATACTCTTGTACCGCACTAGGACATAAAGCTAAGCAATTATTTTTAAATATGTCTAAAGTTATGTTACATTCCCATTTCGTCTATTGTATAACTTTACGATTATTTACTTTTAACTAGAAATGTTATTTGTTTTTCAATTGGAGGACACAGTTTTAACTTGACAATCGACGTTTGTACGAAATATACAAAACATACAATTGTTCTTTTGTATATAATTGTAAAATGACACTTTAATTCTATTTTTCAAACATTGGTTTTATGATAGTGTCTTTAATAATTAGAAATAGGTCATGTATAACAGTAACATATTTCTAAGAAAATAAAACCGGAAAAATATAATTCATTAATTTATTATTGATTAAAGATGACAAAATGGAATTCTGAGATTTTAGGTGCATGTCAGTAAGGTTTCAATTTTCAACTGATCATTTTAAACTATACGGAAATTCATTAATAAAAAGTTTGAGATTTATTTCACTGCACGTGTTGAAAATGTTGTCCTGTAGATAACTGAATTGTTATAAGAATTGTCTCTTAAATCTTAAAAAAATATTTTGGTTTAATACAAATTTGTTCATTGGCTTTGCCAATTAAAACGAACCAAACTTTTATCTCATCTCAGCGAATTGAAAAACAAACAGTATCCGTTTGTTCCCTATCTTCTATTATTAATGAATGCACCATTTGATCGTTGAGTAGAACTATCATTTTCAAAACAGTTTTCTCATTTCATTTCAATAGACTCTGGTGCCTGACAACCGTTTTCAATTTTCTAACTGTGCTCCTTTTATTAGTATAAAGTAAATGTCATATTACGTCGTTGTTAAATAATCCCACTCTAATATTTTTTTTTATTAATATTTAGATATTTGTTTTCTTTCCTAAATTACTTAAAGTTCGTGAACTTATTTAACATTTTTATCAACAGCTTTTACTTTGAACACAAATTAAACGTTTATATTCTTAGGAGATCACATTGATTAATGATCAGCATTAGTAAGAAACGATTGAACTAAGAATTACTAAAGTCAGGTTAAAATCATTACTTTGGCGTGTCTTAATTGACCGTTATGTATTTTCTACATTAACTTTAACCATTCATATCATGCAGTTATCGTAGTGAAAACCTTCCATCCTTTTCTTGAGGTAGACAACAATTTGACTTGTAACCGCAATTTACAACGAGGAAATACATACACTTGCAAAGTATATTTGGCTTCTGCTGGTTTTTTAGGTTGATAAATCGTATGATTTTATAGATTGTTTTAAAGAGAAACATACAATTAATCAGCTCGTTTTCAAATTTTAAATTAAATACATAGAGCGAAAATTTTTGATAATTTATGCACAATTTTAAAAACATTGGTTGAATTTGCTAAAAAAAATTACAAAAAATGGAAATGTTGTGCAATATTATATTAGTTCAGTTAATTAACATACATATTGTCATTCATATTTTTCCAACGCAATTGGCTTTAGACTTTTACAGCGAGACAAAAATGTCTTCATTCTATTTGTCGAGCATTAACAGTTGTGTCCTAAATAACGGCAACAGTAGTTTACCGGTGTTCAATAGTCATAATTCGATTAAGCAAAAACAAATCCGGGTAACAAACTAAAATAGAGGGATACACATCAACTATAAGAGGAAAACAACGGAACAACAGAAACACTGAACTACAACAAAAGCAAACACCATTAAACATAGAAATTGACTGTAGATAACAACTGCCATATTCCTAACTTGGTATATGAATTTTAAGAAAAAATAGTGTATTGAACCTGGTTTTATGGCAAGCCAAACCTCCCGCTTATATGGCAATGTTAAAAACACCGCTAAAATGACAACATCACGTGACAGGAATACAGTACAAACAAATACAAGAACACTCAGCACAGAGAAATACATTAAATATAATATAATAGTACATTACAACATGTAAATCGCAGAATAACAACGGACACCTCCCATGAATTTACGACAGCACACCAGGACACCACTTACGAAATATAAACTGATTGTCACATGTATGGATCAAAGTTACAAAAAGTGACGTATTTTTGTGACGTTTATATTATCTCGGATGAATTTCGAAAAATAAAATAGATTTTTTTTAACACAGGTTAAGCTGACAATTAATTTCTTTTCTGAACATTTGTTCTGTGACATGATATTAGGTTACATATATGACAAAAATCAATTTATACCAATGCGATAACAGATATAAGTGAAAATAAGAAATTTTAGAAGTAAACAAGTCTGTCCTGAACAAACGACAAGTCTATATACGATATATAGTAGTAATTTATAGGAGAAATAGAGATTCTACCACTGCATCACATGTTATTTGATGTTGTTCCACGGCAGACAATTAAATTTTTAAATTTAAATCGCAAGGCAAATATTTATAACTTATCTACCACATTTAGTTGGTTATATCTACATCATTTGGTCAATAGGGAATAATTTTTACATTGTCAATTATACCACATCTTCTTATTTCATATTGTTAATAATTGATATTGATATAATTACACGTAATATAATTTAAATCTTAATTTCTATAGAGCAAAGTCGGTTTATTATATGA